GCAGCTGAATCAGGACGCCTGCGGCAGAGCAGCTGGGGTGCTGCCAGGTTGGTCCCGCAGCGCCGAGGGGCAGCGCTAGGGGCCCTCCCAGCAGCACTCCAGCTGCTCTGCCCCCGGCTTCCCCGATTCAGCCGCTGCTGAAACTGACCAGCGGCTGAATTGGGGAAGCCGGGGGCAGAGCAGCTCCAATGGTCCGGCTGCCTGGAGCACTTCCGGGTTCCTGATGGTGCCAGACCATCAGGAGTGCCGGACCAATGGAGTTTTACTGTATATCAATTTTCATTCTTATTTTGGTTTTGGCTTCATAAAGTGTAAAGTATTTTCTCTTAAAGACAATCACAACTGCTGATATTGTGTAGTCTGTAAGAGTCTGCAGGACAAGATATAAACTGTGTTAGTTTAGAAGTGCATCAGTATAACTAGGGTCCTACTAAATTCACAACCATGTGCTTTCAGAGGAGACCAGAGTTTCTCAAATTGGGGGCCCCAACCCAAAGGGGAGTTGAAAGAGGGTTGCCAAGATCATTTTATTGGGGTGGGGGAGGTGGGGTTAGTAGTACTGTGACTTTTACTTCTGCACTGAGTGGCTGCATAGGATAGCTGTTGGCCAGGTGCCCAGCTATGAAAGCCCACCAGCAGCATCTCTGCCTTCAGAGCTAGACTCCCAGCCAGCAGCCACCACACTCCAGCTGCTCAGCTCTGAAGGTAGCGCTACCACCAGCAGCAGTGCAGAAGTAAGGGTAGCAGTACAGAGAGTCCCCTACAATAACCTTATGATCCCCTCAACTATTTTTTGGGTCAGGACTCCTACAATTACAACACTATGAAATTTCAGATTTAAATAGATAAGATCATGAAATTTATTATTATTATTTTTTATGACCATGAAACTGACCAAAACAGACCGGAAACGTCGTAAGGCCCTACATATAACAAATGGTCCCAGTGGCTGATCATAAAATAACATTCTGCTTCTTGACAGAATTTTCAAGAAGTCAGAGTAAATTGTTTGATTAAATACTTCCATTGTGTATAACAGGCCAAATTCATCAACAGGCCTACGTATGGAAATTATTCCTAAACATATCATTATAGTATACATTCTTTTTGAAGTTATTTATCTTTCTCTGGTTCTTTGTTAAGTGTATATGTTAAGAGTATTTCACATTAAAAGAAACTTCAATTTATGCTCAGATTTGAATATCATGTGCATTTATTTTAAGGTTGATGGTGTGGTGTGCTCCACAATAAATGGTTTTTATGTGACATACTGATGTAGCACACAGGAAATTCTACAGTAGGTTCATTTAAATTTTAAAATGGCAGTTTTTACTGACCCAAATAAGAAAATGAACAATGCCAGACGTGCAGCAACCTTTCAGTTATTCATCCAAGTAGTAAACTAAATTTCTTGCTGCCTCAACTTATTAGTTTTCAATGTACTGCAGAATACTGGACTGACAACAAGTAACTGCATTGGAGAAGGTGTTTAAGGAAAATGTTGCATTAAAAAAGGCATGGCAGGTGGATTGGGACGGTAGTAAAATGAAAATGACTGTATATTCGTACTAAATTATCAAGAGTGAAGTAATTGACAATGCTTACATTTAAATTGTCTCTTGTGTTCCAAAAATTCCTATTTGGGAAAGGTAATTGTGTAAATCATCAACATGGGGAGTTTTAGTTTTCTTACTCTAGACTGCTTATATGTATTTACTGTGTAAAGATTGTTTACTTTAATGAGCATGGGGTGTGTTTAACTTGTAATACTTACATTATTTCTTTAGATTTATACAAAAATAAAACACAGAATCTCCTAGTTTGCTGCAACAAATTGTTGTGTCATAGAACTGTCATGCTGGAAATGAGGCATTAAAGTCTAGTGTGCGCTTTTGCAGGATGGGGGAAGTAACACCTCTCACACATTCTGAATGAACTTAAAAGACAACAAATAGTCTGGTAGCACTTTATAGACTAACAAAACATGTAGATGGTATCATGAGCTGTCATGGGCACAGCCCACTTCTTCAGATGGCCATTCTGAATGGCCACGTCACCTCCCCACATTGAGGCTGTATTGAGTTTTAGCGTTAAGTCCAACTCAGAAAGGGATGGGCTAAGAGAATGGTCATATTACATTATCAGATGCCATCTCCTACTCAGCCAATAGCCAAGTTAACAAAACAATGATGTTTGATTGATGAGTTAACTCATACATAGCCACCTCTGCAGCAGCTGTTACTGAGCAGCTACAAAGGGATGCTATCAATGGTACGTATCATCCCTGCAGAAGCCATTGTGACAAGCAGTGTGTAAGTAAATAAATAAACAGCCAGCAGAGTCATTTGGAGAGAAGATACCCCTACTGACTGATTTCTGTCTCTATGAATTAGGGATGCTTTCCCTTCAATTCCCCAGGATCCATAATGTTGGGATTAGGGATGCAAGCGACTAGTCGACTATCCAATAAGCAGAAGCTTATCAGACAATCGACTAGTGATGTGACTAGTCGCTTCTGCAGAAGCCAGTGCTGAGAGGAAAAGGCTTAATTAATTTAGAAATCAGGGGATGGTCTGCTATGGTCAGTAAAATTGTGAGCGACACAGGTGGCAGCAACTCTCAAAATGTGCACTTGGACTAGGGCCTGGCTTAATTTAAAGAATGACATGATGTTTTTTTACCAGACAAAATCATGGTTTTTACACCTCTGGGAAAAACAACCAATGAGTTGGGAAGTTATGCCTGTCAATCTTTTTTACCAGATAAAATCATGGTTTTCACTGTCCTGGTAAAAAAGAGGTTAGGAAGTTAAGCCGGTGATTACTCATATTTCACTTTTCAATAATATATAAAAAAGTCAAAAACATCTGATTATGTGAAAATGACAATGCAGAGTTGTAGACTTGAAGCACTAAGCCAGAGACAGGGAACCTTTTTTGCACTGGGGGCTGCTGACCCACAGAAAAAATCAGTCAGGGGCTGTGCACCGCACACAAGTGAGAAACATAAAAAAAAAAGCAACAAACTCTCACTCCCAATTCATACACTCCCCACATTCTCACACATCAGGGCCTCCGGGGACCCAGCCTCCGGGAGCAAGGGGAGAAGGAGGCTGGAGCACCAGTGCAAACTCCCCAATGATGGCGAGGGGAGGGCCCTGAGCCTCAGAGGTGGGATCCAGGCAAGCCAGAAACCACATCCAACTTGCTGGACACTGATGCAATTATTTTTCCATTTCCCAGTTTAAATTAGGGTTAAGCTGATATTTACCAACACCATGTTCCAAACTAGTTTTTCCTGGGAAATTGCCAACCCTGCTTAGTTCTCAAGATTTTCCAGATTAATGTTGCTACCACATTGCCAGTTAGTCCCAGAGATAAGGCAGTTTAATCCACAGCATGCCCTTTGGCAGTTATTGTGGTTTACAAACTGATCAATCCTTTTGTGTTTCTCCCTGTATGCATTCTTCCATTTTATTTGGCTTATCTGAAATGTTCCCATATGTTAATTTATTAAAAGAGTGTGTGTGAGAGAAAAACAGAGAAAGAATAAAAGAGAGAAAGAAGAAAGAATATGCCCTCTGAGTATTCATTTCTGAATAAAACAAGCATTACTTTGAGATATTTTCCATCAGTTTTGGATTCAGT